GGGGAGGGGGGGTCAGGGGCACCGCGGGCACACAGGGGCGGCCCCGCACAGCACGGCGAGGGTCCGGGAGGGAGAGCGGCGGTGCCGGAGCCATGTTAGGCCCCGGGGGAGCTGCGCTGGGGCAGGCGAGGCCCGTCGGGCTTCGCTGCCTGTAGACCGCGGCCGATCTCCTCAGCGCCTCCTGCACCAGGGTGACCTGGCCCGCAAGGAGATGGTCTCCGCCTGTGACAACCAGCTGTGGGTTGGGGCCGTGTTGCCTCTTCCCTGGAGAGCTGCCTCACTTCCTGTTTGAGAGACAGCACCATCTCACACGGGGACCGAGGTCAGACCGAAATTAACACCCCGTTTACGCAGCACAAGAACAGCCTCAAGGGTGAAAAGTAAGCTGGGTTCTCGGGAGAAATGCCAGAAAAAGCAAAGCTGGAATGCAAGTAATGCCCAGTGGTTTAAACAGGACAAAGCCTGTGATGGTCTGTGGGGCCTGGCAGGGCAGAAGGAAGAGGAGGATGATGCTGGACGTGAAAAGCAAATCGTTGTGCTCTGCTTTGCAAGGCGAGGGGCCAGGGAGAGCCTGAGGGCCAGAAGAGGAAATAGTGAGCTGCTGTCAGGGAGCACAGGGAGAGAGACAGATGTATGAAAACCGTTGCTGGTCACTGGAAGGAAGGTTTAGGACCAGCTGGGAGGAGAGCAAAGTACCCACACAGATTGCTTGGGCAGAGATTGCTGAGTCTCCCTTCGTCTTAATGGCTGGTCGTGCAGACACCTGTCAGGAATGGGATGCATGTTGGGAGGCTCACTTAATTAGTGTTTTTGAGGTGCTCCGAGGACTGGAGATGTTCTTGGGATGCTGAGCAGTACTTTAGCAGGTAATGGATGGAGCCTTTCAGAAAGAGCCGTCTTTGCTCTGCAGCTCTCCCTCAGGCGTTTTTCCTCCAGACAGATACGGCTGTCTGAAGGAGTCAGACTTCTGCTTTGAGCGTGCTGGAACAAGGATGAAAGGTAGGAACATTCACGTCTCGGAGCTATTTGCTGGGTCTAGCAGCCCGCCTGCACGTTCAGGGACACCATCGCAGCGTCTCCTAGACTGCTGAGCCATCACACTCTGCCTTACGATGGAAAATCGGTCAGTTGAAGGTTAAATCTTCATCTGCTCCCAAGTATGTGCAACACTGGCTGTTAACACGGCACCAGTGCTCTGCTTTCCAGCCCCTCCCCTTTTGGAGATGAAGGTGCCAGGACTCCTAAATGCCAGTGAATGGTCTACAGCATCTCTTCCCTTCAAACAGAACAGCATTGGGTAACGTGAGATTGCAGGCGCTGTTTGATCGGTTCAGACACTCAGTAAGGCCGCAGGACAGTCTAGGCCTGAGCTCTCCCTCCACCTGGAGCTGCCAGCACCAGCCGATAACCTTCCTCTCCTGGCTTTCAGTGCTTTTCCAGTGTCCCCCTGCCTGGTGAGACCTTTTGCTCTGCCAGACATCCAGGCCTCTAGGCTGACCTGAGGGCAGCTGCCAGCTGAGGCACAGGCCCCAAATTCTGCCACAGGCCAATTCCTCAGACAGCAGGAACCCTTCGCTGCTGCTTCTTCCTCATCTTTCAGGCTGGAGAGCAGCACGTGGAAAGCAAAGCTGTCCTGGCTGTACTGATAGATTTGAGACAAGCCCACCCTAGCATGATGCTCACTCCCTTTCCTCCCACATGCCATTACCCTGTCCTCTTTATCTTTAGCTCTTCCAGCTGCATCCGCACGTGCATGCTTGTACCAAAAATGCTCAACCAGAATAAAACCCAGTATCCCTTCGTTCCTGTTGCCTGTAATTCAGCAAATGGCCCAACAGTTCCAAACAGCGAGACGCTTGGTCACAGCTGCTGCAGAAACCCCACGGGAGGAAGCATGTTTACAACACATCAGCTATACTGTACGTGGTTAAAATTCAGCTACTCTTTGCACGTCAAAGCAAGAAATAGTCCACAGGAGGCAGGATGGAAATCCCCCTTGGGCAGCAGCACAGGCGCACTGCGAAACCCCTACCAAGTTCTTGCCTTTTCTGAGAATTCAGCTTCTCCACAGCGGGGCTTGCGTTTACCACCTCTCCCACAGGGCGGATCTGAGGTTCGGCGCAAAGGAACAGAGGAGATGAGCTGCGCAGCAGCAGTGAGCTGCAGTCCCAAGGGCAAGGAAAAGAAAAGGGGGGGAGGGGGGCGGGGGGAAGCCCTGCTGAAAAAAATACCAGTTTTGCCATCAACAGAGGTGGAGAAGCAGGTGGTGGAGGGAAGAAATCAAACAAGCTGAAATTTGGAGAGAGACTTATCTCAAATACATACATATCCATTGCTGAAAGGCCAGAAAGGGTCCTAACACCTACCCACAAGCGCTAGCCGAAATGGAGATGAGCTCCAGCACTCTGACCATTCATACACTCACAAATGCCCAACTTCTGGGTTTGGCACAAACATTTAATAGCAGAATTCAAAACTCAGTACGTTCCATTTTAGTCTTATGTGGAAAATTAGCGCAGGTGGTAATCTAATTGTACAACAACATGTTAAAAAAAGTTTATTTTACATTATATACATTAGGGAACATATTTCAAAGCATTACCAATCAAAACAATAATGCAGGCCATAAATCACTTTAGATTTAGTTTGGTTTTAGTGTATATTATCACAATAAAATATAAAGAACATATACCAAAAAAAAGAGTCAAATGTGTGCATTTTGCTAAAACTTGGCATTTACATACTCCATTGGAAAACAGCAATCAAAAATACTTCTGATCAAAACTAAGTTCCTGTGATGCGTAGTAACCATTGTATTGTTCGAATGAGGTAGTAACTAAATTATTTTGGCCATGTGTTAACATCCTAAATCAAGAAAAGCGTGAAAATGGTTATAAGGCCAAAAAAAGTCAAAATGGCAACATCTTTGAGCCATTTCCACAGTGTGGAATGTTGCTCCTTTTCATTGTGATATGAAACTATTTTGTAAGACAAACAGTAATACTAATTTTTATCATCGTATATACTAATAATTCAAACACCTATTGCAGTGTTACAGCCAGGTACCACTAGTCTGGGACTGACACCCATCCAGGAAGTATTGTTTTCAAGCATAGAGAAGTAATCGTAAGGACAGTTTTAATTAAATATAAAAATACAGGTGTTTAACTGGTTTGTTTCACAAAGAAAACTACCCAAGTAAACTAAAAAAAAAAAAAAAAGGGAACTTTGAAGCCCAAGTCATATCCACAAAGTCACAGCTTACCTTTGTGACTAAATACATCACATCTCAATACGTTGTGCAAACATGAACACCAGTGTGTTGCATCAAAATTAAAACAAGATTGTAATCTGATTACAGCCTTGGTTACAATATCTAAAAGTTAAGATTTATTTGTATTAGTAAATTACATAAAATAAAATACAATAGTGTTGTTAAATGTACTATATTTGTCGCTAGCATCCCACTTTATAATAAACACAGGAGAAGTCCTTAAAATAGTACCCCAATTGCATTTTTGCATCCTCAGTGACTTTTACATCTGTACAGGTAAGACACTTGTACTGAACAGGAGGATCGCTATCTACAGAACGTCAGTGTAGGTCTTCAGCGAGAACTTTCACTGAAAAATACTGCATATGTACAAAGATTACATAACAGCAAATTAAGCACTTCCTTGCCATCACGAGGCTTGCGTGTCCATCCCACGAACGGTTCTCCCTCTTGTGCCACAATAAATTATAAAGTAACTGAAGTCGGCGTGCTGCAGCTTTCGTGCCGTTTCAGCACAGCCACAAGCGCTGCGGCAGGAGGAGTGTTCTCTTGTCGGGGCGAGCCGCCTGCCACGCGCTCTCCTCAGTAACTGTTCTCGTGCCCTGCCAGGATATATAAATTGCTGTTGGCTGTTGGGTTATCCGTCGGCCTGCTCTCCAGCACCACCACCCTAAAATGAAAATAAAAAAATCCACAACGTCAAGTGAGCCTTCACTTAAAAACATCCCTGGACATAACTGTAAATATTCTTTCCCAGGAGCTATCTGACCGGTGCTCATCTCTCTTTCC